GATCATCTATTTAGGATGATGTATTTAAATTTGATGTATTTAGATACGCGAACATGGCTGAACGGAGCTGAACATGTCTAAGATAATATTTTTCTCTCCAGGGCCCTTGAAATTGCATTTTGTTTACATTTTAAATTTGAAACATTTTGTAAACCAGTCTTGACATTATTGTTTATCTGACCTCTTTTGCACAAACCACCACGCTCCTTTATTAACAAAGACCTACCTACTAGACTACAACGACGGAACAAACTTCAATATTAGCAGATCAACTTTTAATACGTAATACAATCTCCAACTCGTTTAATCTTCATTGTTAAGGCAGGTCTAAAGGTTGTTTGTGCACCTGTACCTAACTCTGAGCAACAAAGTATTAAGGACGCGCTCCGTATTGCTTGCCGTAAACAATGAAAATCTATAAAAACTTTATGAGCTACCATTGTTCCTGAATCACCTTCTCACCTCCAAACAGAAACTTGTTACTATTATCCCGTAATAGCGTTCATTTTAAAGTTATCTGTGTAATATGTGCAAAGGTTGTAGCCTTTATTTGGTATAAAGTAATTAGGAAATCCTTCATTTTTTGTAGACAGCAAGGACAGTTATAGTCTTCTTGATTCAGCAGCAAGAAAACAATATTATATTTTTTATGGCATAAGCCGGTAAACGAGCAGACGGATCACCTGATGGTAAGCAATCGGCGTCGCTCATGGACACCTGGAACACCAGAGGCGTTACAAGTGCGTTATCGGCCTTTTGGGGATTAGAAGTTTGAGGAGCGTTGGGGTTTCAGGAATCGGGGAGATTGGGGAAGAGGAGGGTAATTGAGCCTCCGGTAACCTCACTCACACGACGAAACACACCGCAAGCGTTGCTTCACGTCGGTTTTCTGTGAGGCCGTGGTATCACTCCGGTCGACCCGGCCCATTCGAGCCAAATCATGGCTCTCCCATACTTAAAAAATAATATTGTGTCTAACAGTTTTTTATGGAGTAAACCGGTAAACGAGTAGACAAATCACCTGATGGTAAGCAATCGCCGCCGCCCATGGACACTCGAAACACCAGAGGTGTTACAAGTGCGTTACCGGCCTTTTTAGGATTAGGAATTTGATAATTGTGGGGGATTCGGGATTTGGAGAGAATGGGGAGGGGGGTAACTGGGCCTCCGGTAACCTCACTTAAATGACGAGACACAACGCAAGTGTAGTTTGACGTCGGTTTTCTGTGAAGACATGGTATCACTCCGGTCGAATCGGCCCATTCGTGCCGCAGCATGGCTCTCCCACATTTTATATAATATAAGGATCATTTAAAAACCATATTCTTGACCTTTTGATCAGTGTCAGTTAATGAAGCGAGCACATATTATCTCTCTCACCTGACAACATAATACCTCGGATGAGGTCTACACATCGACACGAGACGGTGACATTTGCCGGTGCCGGCATCGGACCGGTTTTACAATTGCTTTATCGTTCGCTCCCGGCTCGTTTCAACGTCATCTGGTAAACCGGCTCATGTCATCGGCTTCTCGAGATATGTGGAAAGTCTTTTATCATATATAACACCTTTCATGCCATCACATCCGATATACGTGATAAATACGAGGATAAAAGTGAATAGTACTTCCTCATTCGTCTAGTGGAAAATATTTTTGATAGTTAGCAGCTTGTGGTAGGTTACAGTAGCACTCCGATCTTGTAAATATTCTAGTGAAATATGAAAATTATGTCACTTTGCTATTTTATACTCGTATATTTCAATATTTAATATTCCACAAAATGCTACTAACGCTATTTATGTTTAGTATATTTAGTTACAAATAATTCATGGTTCGTCACACACACCATTTTAATTATTCGTTTACATTGGCATCGACCCGTCGATACGTTACGCGTTACGGCCTATATTTTGTTTTCATTGAACATTCATCGTAGGCTACCCACAATTGCATTAGCTGGCCTTGCTTACGAAACATCGTATTTCTGCTGTCGAATTGACGTAAACTAGAAAACATCGATAAATATTAGGTAGATGTTCAAATAGTAGCATTTCAATCACATTGAAAGCGTCTCTAGAGCAAGATAAAGGCTATTAAACAGAATATCAAATGAAAGCGTACGACGGGGAAAGAGCTCTTGTAATACTAGAGAGACTCTTTAAGATAGTTTGCCCTTTCATTGCCTAGTTCGAGGAGAAAGGAAGTCGAGAAATTGAGCTAATAAGGAAATTCCTTATGAATTAAATCAATGTAAGTTATATTTAATATCAAAGTCGTGGTTCCAATGGCGTTGTTCTTGGTTATAGATTTCAGTATCAGTTAACAAAAAGATTCCAGGAAAACTTTCTTTTGGTTTGTGCTAATATAGATTTATTTTTAGACAAGACTAGATACTTGGGGTAAGACTGTACAGCTATTAGATTGTGTCCAATTAGCTGGTCTTCCAAACTATCTAATATACGTTACATTGAACCTAAACCTGAAACTTCAAGCACATTTTTAATAATAGTATAAGGTTTACAGCTAATAATAGTTTACAAAAAATATAAATAGATTACGTTATGTATATAGGTCTATTTTTGTACTTGCAACAACAATTTGTACACACTATAATTAGTTTTCCATATTATGGTGCAGTGAGTTGCACAACTATTGTGCTAAGCGTCAAACTTGGTAAAAAAATTATTATTGGTATGAAATATAAGCTTACGAAATTATTTGCAATCCCAGTTTTCCCTAGAGCTGGGAAAGAGGGCTGACTGTTATAAACGATGTTAGCAAGTTATACAAGAATATGAGAACAACGGGACAGTGACAAGTTATTTATATTTATTTATATCATTTCTGTTGAAATTGTAGTGAAAGAAAAATGATATTTATAAAGTAGAATGTTTGCGTAATCTAAACTAGTCAGGTAATCCTGACTAGTTTAACTGACAAAAGTATAATTACTTTTGTCAGTTCAGTTTTAATTTATTTCTTTCCACTATTATTTTATAATACAGGTAAAAATTAGATAAAAATATTACGTGGGTACTGGCGAAGACGTAGATGGTTCGCCGTAAATAACATAGAAGACTCTTTTTGGATCCTGAAGGAATATTAGGAGAGAAGTACCATACAAATGTATTGAATCACCAACTCCTTTACCGAATATCGGCCGATTTGGACTTTGGACTAAGATCGATTTTTTTTATATTAATTGCAAGGTGTTTTTATCAAAAACTTAGATCGGTTCAGAGATTTTGACCGTAAGACGACAAACAAATGTAACCTTCTTGTTGTAACTACTCAATCCAAAAGCGTTGGAAAGTTATAATTGTTAAGCAAATGAAAAAAGAAAAACAAAACAGTTTCTATTCATGAAAAAGAAAGAAGTAGAAGTCGTACAAAGGTAGAGGCCCTCAATTTGCAGCGGCCATGTCGAAGTGGTCGTGTCGTAATGTCAAGCGAACTGCTTTTGTTCTAAATGCTGCCAGCCCCGCATGGCTTCAGAACGCATTCACTATGACTTTTTGTTCTGTTCAATGCTATGGCAAATTATAAACATTTTCTGATTTTATTCAACCTCCAAACTTTTGAATGAGTTTTGCTTTCGGAAATCGTTCTATAATTATTTTAATCCTGCGCTTTGCTCAAGATCTATGGATATGAAATGGTGGTGCAGGGAGATGGTGGGGTGATGGTAGTGGCACATTATAAAGATAATTATGCAAAATATTAATTTCTACATAACATAACATAACATCACGCCTTTAATAAGGTGTATATTACGGCTCTTAATGCCACTGTACAATTTAACACCCACTTTTCACTATTTATGTTATAGGTCCCATGTAATAGGGGGTGAGCCTATTGCCATATACCGAGTAAAATTCCAAACTCCGTGCTACTACTGAGATTTTTGGAAAAGTCCAATAATACTTTGCCCGACCCGGGAATCGAACCCGAGACCCCTTGCCTGGCATTCGCACTTGCGACCACTCGGCCAATGAGGTAGTTATATTAATTTCTTTTCTTATTTTACATAACATACATAACATCACGCCTTTTATCCCCGAAGGGGTAGGCAGAGGTGTACATTATGCCACTGTACAATGTAACACCCACTTTTCACTATTTATGTTATGAGTCCCATGTAATAGGGGGTGAGCCTATTGCCATATACCGGGCACAATTCCAGACTCCGTGCTACTACTGGGAATTTTTGAAAAACCCAGTAATACTTTGCCCGACCCGGGAATCGAACCCGAGACCCCTTGCCTGGCATTCGCACTTGCGACCACTCGGACAATGAGGCAGTCAGTTTTCTTATTTTCTTCGATATTAATTTCTGTTTCATCATAATTCATAATCATTGCGAATTAAAGAGCTGACTACAGGTACGACAGTAGGTAAGAATAGGTAAATGATTATTAGGTAATATTTTAATATATTTGTCACCTATACATAACTATTTTGATAATAATTTATAATTATTATCTAATTATACCTATAGATAATGTTTATCGTCACATACTTTGATTATAGGGATGCAGGTGTGCAATCTTGTGCACTGCAGTTATTGTTGCAATGATAACGATATAGAATTAATCATGAGTAACACTCTCTAGAAAACCTCAGCAGAAAGCTGCCAGAACTAAAGGATTTATTACTGACAAGCCATTTCCCGCAACTTCATCCGCTAGGAAATGGTATAACAACGTACAGACCTACATACATATTGCAAGCATGTTATATTCCGAGTGAGAATTCTATCCATGAATATTGCCAACACGACATGGAGAATCGATGGCCCCGAAGTCGAATAAAAACTTTATGCATACTATATTCAACTCGACAACCAAATACAAGAGACAATTTGTTCACAAAGTTTCTAAACTCCTTAAATGCATTCGTCTCTTCGAAATATTTTACGTAGATAACAGAATTAAACAGGTTCAGGCATACAAAGTAGGGTGAAAATTGAATAATGGTGTAAAATTAAAACAATGTCAGCGAATTTCAGCTATTTTATGAGCTGTATTTTCTTGTTTTTAAGGTTGTAAATTAAACTATAACTTAACGCCTTGGAGTGATTTTAACACAAACTCCTCGGACACATCTCAGTGGCTCACGACAAATGGCAGAAGGAGTCTCTCCCAGCTCCTTGCTGTAGGTCTTGCAGGCAGCGCCTTCACCTGAAGAACAAAACAAAAATATAAATATTATACCAAATGACGTCATCCACATCCAATAACTTTGAGTGAAATTATCGAATAACCAAAGTAAATACGCTTTCAATTTTCCGAGTATCTTAGAGAATTAGAACTTCAACTTTAAGTTTGTCCGAAAATAGACAAAGTTATAACAGTCTATCTTTCTTATCACGCTTCTAACATTGTTGAAACAAAATACCCTATTTGTAGGAGAACTTGCTCGGAAAATTATGCATTGTTGCTAATAAACAATAGTTATTCTATAGACAGTTACGCCTCGTGTGACCATCTTGTACACTGTTATGACACCATAAGGGAAGGAAATGAGTCGTAGCTTGTAAGAAAATGGCAATTTCCATTATTTTTATACTGTGGCGTTGTCTCGGCGACAATGTAATCACTTCCCGCGAGTGCCGTGGAGGTTATAATAGAATTATTAGGAAGATGTGCTATTCTGGGTACTACGAGACCGTTTCTAAGTACTTACCTGCACGATGTACGTAAACTAATGTTATTATACGAGTACTAGCAATATTTTCGTATTCTCGAATTATGTTCCTTAGGTTCGGAGAACAGGTGGGTTACAAATTCGTAGTTATTTTATTTTGTACGCCAACGTCGCTGTGAATCGTTTACATCAAAATTTTGATATTTACGTAATTTACATACTTTGTTTTCTTAAATTTTTCACAATAATGTTGTTTACTGACCCATACTATTTTTGCTTTAGGTATTAAAAGTATCTGTGTACTTGACACTGAACTTTCGTATGCCTTAAGGCGCAGTGGTCTCAACAATAGAGTTATATCTGATAACAGTTATACTTACTTAGGAAGGTGACGCAGGCTGGGCAGCAGGCGCACTTGCCGGCGTGGTTGGGGCGGTAGACCGAAGGGTTGCGGCAGCTGCTGGCGGCCACAGGGGAGGCGCAGGGGTGCTGCCTGCAGTAGCTGCTGCCACATACCAGGTCACCGTACGCCACGGCTACCACACACGCCAACAGTAACAGAACTAGGCTTGTCCTCATTCTGAAATGGCGTGTCGAGAAAATAAGCAAATGTTTGCGTGCTCGTGTTTTTGGCAGAAGAAAATCAGTAGCTTTTCTGTCCAATAAGAAATTGCTAAAGTCAGAAAATTTGAACATAGGTTACTTCCCGAAGGCGTAGGTAGACATTGCAAATCATTAGGTAAGTAAAATTTAAAAAACCCCAATAACTCGTTGTTTACCTAAAAATTGTCTGCTATCGAAACAACCAATAATTAAATTACGAATTGAATAATTTTTATTTCGATTTATACAATCAAAAGTCAATTAGTGAAATTTTGAAACTTATAGTCCAGACCAATCATAAAATAAATAAAACCCCGAGGAAAACTCAATTAAAACAACTTTTATGATATTGTTCTAACTCATCCATTTGACGAATATGAAACGTTCAAACGTGAGGTTTTAATCGGATCACATAAATAATCCGGTAGCTAAATCGTATCTATCTGATCGTAGTAATTTGGAGAAAGTTGCTCGTTTATTTATGTTCTATTTTATTATGAGGGTTGTATTTGTAAAGAGACAATCATACAAGAATTCTTCCGTAGGTAATAGACACCGTGGTTGAATCGCAGCACGGCAGTCGACTGCCACTCGGCACTCTAAAGACTATCACAGGTAAATGGAAGAACATGATTCTAACAACACAATCAGTATGGGAGAGCTATGCTTCGGCACGAATAGGCCGGTTCCATCGGATTGATACCACGGCCTCACAGAAAACCGACGTGAAGCAAAGCTTGCGTTGTGTTTCTTCGTGTGAGTGAGGTCACCGGAGGCCCAAATATCCTCTTCTCCAATCTCCCCAATCCCTCATTCCCAACGATCCTCAAAGTCCTAATCCCCAAATGGCCGATAACGCACTTGTAATGCTTCTGGTGTTTCAGGTGTCCATGGGCGACGCCGATTGCTTACCATCAGGTGATCCGGCTGCTCGTTTACCGCCTTATGCCATAAAAAAAACATAACCGACCGATTCGCAGTAGATAATGCAGTGATGTACAATTAATATTTACCTACCGTCCACTTTACCCATCCACACAGATAACGAACGCACTTTTTGTTTATCGAAAAGCTTGGGGTTATCTAATTGAATTATGTAAAAATTCAACATATAAGTAATGCAGATTAAGCCTGGCCCCGTTTTCAATTTGCCCCGACCTAACTGAATCAGAATTGATCCATCCGAGGGTTGGGTAAACCCAAAATGGTTCTAACTAAACTGAAAACAATCTTTCGACTGTTCGAGGCTGGTATTGAACGACAATAACTTGGAAGCGTGTTGTGAATCAACAATAAAAGGAAGTATTACGGGAAATACGTATTCCGGGATTTAACTAGATCCTTCTGTGATTGACGCTAAATAGATTTACGAGTGAAATTCATATTGTTGCGGATATTTCCTGCTATAAACTATTTGTTTTATGGTCTAGCATCAATATTATACTCTAGTAGTAAAGTAGGTAATTTGTTATGATATTTGTGATAAATAGGTCAGTCTAATTATTAATTACAGACGCAATAAAAGTCCTATGTTTCCCCGCAGCGACAGGTTGGGGCGTAAATTTTATGAACATTATGAAATAGAACATTAACTTTTTCTGAAACCGTCCTAAAGCCTTAATTTTCATTTTATAATGATTTGCTTCCATTGTGAACATTTAACTTGTTCAAATATTAAATTCGAAGAGTCTGGGAGTTATGAATTCAATACGACACTCTTCACATCATATAATTTAAAAATGTAAAAATTTTAGCGAAATAAAGTTTGGCAGTATGTGCAATATGCATAGGTACCACAAATTACTATATTTCGAAAATAGAGTTTACAAAAATTCGTATTAGAAAAATGTTACAAATTATGACAAATGAAATGTAAAAAAAAGTAATATAATTTCTACTTACTTGATTTTTGTGGAGAGAGTACTTCGTGTGGACTGGTCGAAAGCTATCCAATATAATGGCGGTGGGAAAGCGTATATAAGCAGTTTTATGTATATCCGCAGATAACCCCGACCTGTTTACTTGTAAACTTGCACCCACAGCGTATCTCCCGGTTTATCTTATTTAGTTGTTATTATGAAACGCAGTCTACCTAACTTCATCTAGATTTATAACCAATTAAGAATTTCAATTTAATTCTGAACTCGTTGTAATCATGCGATATTGTGTTACGCACCAAAACCCCGTATTTGTTATAAAGAATTGATTAATGATTACCGCGTTTATAAAAACAACGAGGGAAAACGTGCGGTACATGACTGTAAAATAAATTGCCATCAATTATGCTAATAAAGTACATTTTGGCCCAACATTCATGATTGTATCTCTTGCTTTCGGAACATGATCAACGTATTACAAGGATTTTTCGTTCGTGTACTATTTACATAAACGTTATGTCTACTCGTAGCTACAAAAGTTCGTTGTCGGTGTTATTAACAATCTCAGATTGATAAGAAAGGAACGCCAATACTTCTTACTAAAGTGGTATTTCCATTGTTTTTCCGCCCTTCCTAGAATCTAATAAACGTTATCCATCATAAGTCTCGTTTTCCTCTTATTTAGACTTAAGTAAATTAGGAAGCAATTTATCATCGAAGCAAATGAAAAAGTAAAACCAATAAGGATGATCTATATTTCAGTAGTGGGTAAAATACTTTGACAGGTGCCACGAGATCCAACGACTTTTAAATATTTATGGAACTTTATTCATTGAAGATGACAAATATTATGGCGCGAAACCCTTAAGGAAGGAAATAAAGATTATGAGAATAAGTCGGTATTAAATAGAGCCGGCGGAGTATTTTCATTATGCTAGGCGTCAACTGAAATCTTTTGAGATAAAGATGTTTTTGTTGAAATTCAAAATACTTAATAATTATTATGTTTCTGGGTACAGTATCGTGTAACTACATGTTCTTATCGCGTTCTCAGAATATCTTCATGCATTTATTGACGTACCTAGAGGTACATTCCAATTAAATGAAAACTGTATATATGCCTATACGGTACAGGCTTCCATAACAAAGGTTGGAATAGTGAATTAAATCGGATGAAAGATAAAAGAGTTATAAACCTTCCGAAGTTGAAGTGAAGAGAAGTAACTTTATGAGTTACGTCTTCTGTGAAAATGGAGATTCGCGCGAAAGTTCTCAGGTGAAAGCCAATATTTCGTATTTTATCGTTTTATAAGGCGGCTACGGGGTTGGTGAGGCACTGTAGCCATGGATTCCAACTTTTATAATATTTGGAACATTTATTCCAGGCGTGAGTGTTTCATATAGCAATATAGCATTTGGCTTTTTCATTTATTTATCGCATATTGAGGCACTTTGTGTTATAAAGTAGTTCTAAGATCGAGATGATATGAGAGAAATTGCGTAGCAGAAGGGTGACATTGTAAATAAGTGAATTAGTACGTTTGTAGGTACATACATACATATATTGCGAGCAGAACAGTATGCGGTGCACAGGTGGTTCAGTTTTATTTTCCAATAAACTATTCGTGATACATTTGTGTCTGTCGTGTGCACCTTATTATTATCTACTTTCTATAAAATGTATTTTATTTGTCGAGGTAAATAACATTGAAACATTTCGTCAACAGTAACTTAATAAAATTATTTCCAAGAACACAATATTTTTAAGTAGTCTAACAGTACCTGTCAAAGTAAATAAAATAAATGAAACAAAAACTGAATGTATTATACGGTGAAGTTATGAAGTCTACAAGACGAGGTGCATTAAAGTACAAAGCCTCACGATGTCAGTTTAAGTCCTCTGAGAGGCTCGTGTTGTTGTAACTTGATAGCCTTCGTATACCTAAGTAAATATATATTTCACACGGGTAAATTGAAACAATAGAAGTACATAACTTCTTATTATTTTGAGGTGTTGATAAACTCTATGAATATACCTACTATGCTCGACCCAGGAATCGAACCATACATACTTTGTAATGTAAATAATACACGTTAAATACCGAGCACGTATTTGATTGATAAATCACATCGCACTTAGGTAATTAGCAGTTAGTTCTGAGAGTAATGAACTTGTGTATAATATTTTGATTACCTTTGTGGTCTGATGTTTTTAATTATCAGGCACTCAGGCTGCTTATTAATAATATATCTTGACTTTCTTTTCCACCTAAATTTTCTCTCATTCACGAAAAGTTCTCATACTGACATAAAAAAGCGCTTCATTAAAGTAAATGCATCAGAAGCGCCATGCGGTTGGTGAACGAACATGACAGCAGCGATGTGTTTTTTAAATAAACATACACAATTTAAAATTCTAATTTATTGCCGGCTTCAGAACGGAACGCCGAGAGAGCGCGCTGGAGTACGAGAATATATCAAGTTCCACGAATAATATCGTAACGAATGATATTTGTTTATGTAATTCTGTAAAGCCTGTGTAATCTTTCATTATTGTATCGTCACTGGCACGTCACAATTTTCACGAAAATGTACGTTTTCAAAATAATTTTGTTGTTATGCTATTTGTGTAATGCCTGATTATTTTCGAGAACGTTTACAAAACAAATTGAGCAATAGGTAGTAACTGAGTTTAAGTGTTTTGAGATACGGTTTTTATCTAATGAAGCGTAATTAAGTATATTTTAAAGTTCAGATGTTTTTGTTTATTATTTTTAATTAATGTTTATTGTAATTTTGAATTTTGAAGTTCCAGCGCACGGAAGTTAGTCCCCCTATAGATAATAGGCAATAGTTTATTCTATTTTCGGATAATTCATAAAATTTTGTTTTACTCGGTAAAATATTTTCCATAATCATAATAAATGTTTTAACTTTTAACTCGTTGAGTACCGTCATTATATACACAATTATAGAACAATAGGTTGCGGTCACCGGTGACCGCTTAGTGTTTGACAGTTTAAGTAAGTAGATACATATGAGCAGCTGAAATAACATTCGAGTTTCCTGTCTATACATACGGGTATAATGCACATCATACCACGTACATAGATTGTAATATTATCACGACGCCTGCCACGTTCCCAAAGCAAAATGTATCTAATTAGAGCTTTGTGAGACATTAAAATAAATTGTCATTCGCCATTAAGTCAGCACAGGCGAGTTTGCTCTTCTGTCGTTTCTCGACAACACAGTGCAACTCACAACTGTCATTAAGGTCCCTAATGCAATGCAAGCGAATTCATTACGCTAACGAGATCAGACTAACTTAATACTTGAATACTTTGTTGCATGTTAGAAAGAAAGAAAGAAAGAAAATACATTTATTTGGCCATTGGCACACGAAGACAAGGATCATTACAATACAAATAAAAAATACAGTGAAAATAAAAACAAAACATCAATAATAGATTTTATGAAAGAGAAAAGATATTAACAAAAATCATTAAAACATAACAAAATATAATTAGAATAATAACCGAAACTAAAAAAAAAACTAAATACAAAAAAAAAGTATAATTATATATATAAAACAAGGAAAGAAATATAAAAATAATAAAGTGCGCGTGCCCAGGCCAAAAGGGCGACCATAGTTGGACGTTTGTGCCCAACGCTGGTTTTCAGGTGGCACCCTGCAGTGACTCACGGACGGCGGTACCGCCCCTCAATAAGGAAAAGAAAATAAATAATAAAAGATAATAAAATTATACAAACAAAACAAAATTCTGCAGAATATGTGTGTACATGTGCGTGAAAAATTGCGATCAGAATAATGTATAGATATATGCGAATAAAAATGCAATTATAAGAGGTCAGTAGTCAACTTCCATTTTAATTTTTATTTTAATAACGGGCGGTTGTCACATATTTTTGCTGCCAAATCAGACAGGTACTATTTTAGTGATAGCCTTGCTGAGCTCTAGTTCACTTTGACGCGTACCCACAGAGATACGGTTGGCTTCCACTGGCCACCGGACACAAAACCACGGCAGCACTGTTTACGAGTGGTCATAATTAAGAAAGAAACACGATGAGCATGAGTACCCACACGAAACGCACAGACTTCCAAGTTGGCAAACAAAAGTAAGTATAATTGCATTGTATTCGAATAATAAACTCAAATTAGATAAAAGATTTGTCAATATTTATGTTGTTAAATTTAATTTGTGATGTCAAAATAAAAGATTTTAATTTTAACCTGAACGTGTTTTTATTTTTTAGATGTCTAATTGGTGGTGGAATATTATTCCAACATTTGGAAGCCGCATAACGGAAGCTGCCGCGAAAAGCTGCAGTTTTATGCTGGGGAATGGCGAGCTGCTGAGCACACCGCCTACCCTCACGCTCCCGGTGACTATTAACCCATGCAAACCTAGAGTACAGGTATGGGGGATACTTGTGTTTTATCACGTCGAACATAAGACAGGCGAGGTGGAGTTTACGGCGCGACTTCATTTTTAAAACATTATGTTTGTTTAAAAATGGCGTAATATGACTTCTTGGTGGTACATTGTAGCAAAATCGCGTGCAGGCATTCTGTACTCTCTGTATTAATCTCCCGGTGCGTGCCAAGAGCCTGGGGCCCATAACGGTATCTGCGTAGTTTAATTTTGATAGAACTAAACGCTCCACCAACCGCACCCGCAGTTCCTCGCACAAGTAGGGTCGTATTTTATATAAGATTTTCAAACGATAGAAACAACTTCTTACACAGTCTGAAATAAAACGTTCAAACCTTAGACCTTCATCCATTACAAGGCCCAGGTTTCTCGCCTCACTTACTCGTTCTACATTTTGACCCTTTACATTAATGCTTACGGAAGTGCTCGGTGGAATTTTGTGTAATAAGCCTAGGGTGCCAAAGATCATAAATTTGGTTTTAGCTGGATTTAGTATTAAGGAGTTTCTTTCTGACCATTCGAATATACCCTCCAGATCCTTGTTTATTTTTCTGGTTGCAGACTCATAGTCTTGAGGTCTAAAAGACAAGTATATTTAAAGGTCATCAGCGTAAATATGGTATTGACAGTGCTCCTAAGACGGTCGTGTCCGTTTAGAACTTTA